GTCACAAAGCCGGAAGCATGAGGAAGACTCGCCGATCCGACTATTAAATTCGTCTCGAAAATCATTTTACGTGTGTTTCATTTATCCACGTTCGTCTACAATTCAAAAAATGTATTCGCTCGCTACCGTAGTATTACATTGTAATATTTGATATATAGTTCATTGTGTGGTATCGATCTACGGAAACTGGCAAACAATATAAACAATGGTGTCGTATAGTTCGTCGGGGATTCAACAACAACTTTCTGCAACTTTCAGTTGTTTAATTCACCGTTACGGAGTAAATATTCTTAAAAGAATTGCTGGAAAAAGTAATTAATAATAATAAAAAAAAAATAATAATAATGAACAAAAAAAAGAAAAAAAAGTATATGATATCCCTTGGGATTCGAACCGTGACCACTTGGTCATTACACCTATGTTTTAATCACTGAGCTACGATGGCAAATTGTATAAAATGGTGGCTAAGACTGGGATTTATTTCGCCGTCACTCGCCGTGCTTATCCACAAACGAAGTTACAATAATAGGATTTTAACGAAAAAATTTCATAAATCGTTTACTTCGAAAAAACATTACTAACGAAAGGACTATTATAAAATTAGTATAACCACTCTATTTATGTTATTCAAATCACACAGTTTCTTCTGTATGAGAAAAAGCAGAAGTATGTACTTCTGGAAAAAGATACCTCTGGTATTTTTATACCATTTTCCTCAAAAATCAATGTATTTTGTATTTTTGTGGCTAATGCCTCGGAACGAGGCTCAAGCCATTATGCTATCGCTTGGAGTGCATGTCAATGTAATTCGGAATAACTTCGTGACTACTCACTTTTCGGCGATTCATTTTGAACTTTTCGTAACTTTTCGTTTGTAAGTTGAGACTCCTGTGTTTATCATATTGGGCTTCCTGTGTGATGACGTCACTAATGTTGTACACCACCCCTCCCTGACCTTACCTATAATTGCCCTGAACCACCCCTCCCTTGCTAATCTTTTGTCTGCTCGTATATACCCGTTCATATGCCGTTACCCATTCAGCACCGCATGCAAATATACTACGAAAATAAAGTCTTCTCAACCATGTGGGATGCTATGTGAAGTCATTTCTCACTCTCTTTATAACTCTACTGAGCTACTGAGTCTACACATAATCAAAATATAGTTTTAGACGGTTTTTACTTTATAATTTAAAATATAATAATCGATTATAATAAAATTATAAATTTTCCAACTTTTCTTACAAAAATTATGGCACTCGACGATATCTTTAAAGCCGTAAAACTTATTCAAAGAGAAGACAATTTTGTTAACTAGAGCTTTTAAAACAAGTTTAAAGTTTTTAAAAAATTGAATGGTTTTAATTTTTTTATTTGCATGAGTTTGGCTTAGAAAACGAAACATATATTTTGTAGCACTAGCCACATGCAGTCTTGACTGCGTATTTTTCACATTGCCATCTTCATTACAGGCCCGCAACCAAGGGGGGTGCACTGGGTGCCCCCCCAGAGAAGCTGAAGGTCCGCTCATCTATATTTATGTTGTATGTACATGAATCTTTGTTTTAAATTTTAAATCAATTTAGTGCAAAAACATAACTTGTTTTGTCGAATTTATCGGGCACGAATCCGCTGTATGTTATTCAAAACGACCTGGATTTGAACTGAATCCATGAAGGACCTTGTATATAAGGTGTATTAATAAGTCTAATAACGTGTAATCACAAATAATAAAGATAATCAAAAACGGTAAGAAGTGTCACAAGTTGTAATGCACTAGTCAATTGAACCCCCCCCCCCCCCCCCCCCACGACCCTCGGGGCTAGCGGGGCACTGAACGGGGACGTGACGCGTTTTGAACGTGCTTTTAACAGCAAGATTGCCCCTTGTTTTCGAAGCGGGGCAAAGAGCGGGCATTTTAACGGGCGTTTGAACATGTATGAGGCTGGCGACTTCCTTTGTATGAACATTTTTTTAAATATACTTATTAATACACAGCCTCATGTAGTATATACTCAAATGAGTACACAGGATTGTGCAAAAATTAACWCTGTGTATCACAGAAAATTTGATTGAAAGGTCTTTGTTTTATTATTTACAACTTCCAAAATAGCGGGGCAACAGTAGCGGGAATTTTAACAATGAATGTGCCCACGACTACCGGGGGAAATGTCTTATTTTAACACCACTCAAACGTTAAATMCCCCGGTATTCTCCGGGGATCAGTGCATAATACGCTGTTGTGTATTTCATGGGGTTTGAAAAAGATGCAGACAAAAGGAGTGCGAAGAAATGTCTGCTGCAAAAGGTGTAAAATTCTCGTAAATGAAAACTTCAATTCGTTCGCCTCCATTGACTTGTCCGCTCTTGAAGTAGATCAACAAGGACCAATCAGGTGCCGTGTAATATGTGCGCGCGTTCTGATTGGTTGTCTAAAAATAGGGACATCTGATGGTGTGGACATTATTGGACGGGGAGATGGACACTTCTGGTTATGTACTTCTGATACTGTTCTTCTCGTAGTCTTTGGTCTTCCCCTTGCTCTTCTTCCGTCATTTTCACTTTGCCTTCTAAGGATATGTCCGATCCAGCAGTTCTGCAACTTCTACGTCTAATTTCCGTTAGGGACTGGTCTTAAAGTATTGAATAAAGCTTTGGAATAAAGCAATCAATTTACATCGTTTATAAAAAGCGTGTAAATGTGATGAAAATCAAATTTTCAATGTATGTATAAAGTGTGTAAATGTCTTGTAAATATTATGTGAGTGTCCAAAATCATGTAAACATTACTTCATTTTTACATCAAATTTACAGCGGGGTTGTAATGGGTGTGGCATTATCAAGTTAACTGATTCACAGATTTTCATGCTGTTGCTACATTGAATATATTAGCGTGCAAACCGTCATAGTATAAGCAATCAAGCATCCACAGTACAGTACAAACATTAAATGTGTGCAACACTTTCCACTATTTACTACAAAATAGTGTTAATTAAAAAATAGAAAACAATAGAATTAGCATAATTTAGCAGTATTATTTAGTGGTATTTATGTTGCACAGTTTTAGTGTTTGTACTCTTCTATATTGTAATTGTCTACAAATAAAACATATTGTCTTTATACTTGAAAATTATGGCGCTTTTTTCTTGTCAAAATTCAAATTCTTCAGTATTCGTCGTCTTTCAAGTCCGACATTCGTTTTTCAAGTTTGACATTCGTTTTTCAAGTTGGAAATTTCATCCATAACGAAAGGACTATTTTAAAATTAGTAACCACTCTATTTATATTATTCAAATCACACAATTTCTTCTTGTATGAGAAAAAGATACCTAGTATTTTGATACCATTTCCCTCAAAATCAATGTATTTAATCCCGGTATTTTTCACATTGCCATCTTCATTGCTTTTTCCAAAGCCAACCAACTTCGAATTTCTTTAAATAAGCAATCTTACATGTAAGGGATGAGAATTTATGAAATATATYTAAGTTTTTCAATACACTTTGAAAGGATTCYACATCGTTTGTCGCTGATGAATTGATGCCATATATATGGAAATATAGGATCACCTTGTTTTGTGCGCCGACTTACTTTGAAAAAATCTGTTATGCTATGCCGCTATTTATGATACAGCTCATTTATCTGTGTTGGTCATGATAAATTATCTCTGACCAACCTCCATACATTTGAACCCAGTTGTTCAAGCACGAACTATGCATGACCCACCCCAATAAACCAATTTTAATCAGAGTCTCTAAAAAAAATGTATGTTGATTCGTCACTTGAAGAGCCAATTTCGTGCAGCACTAAATCAGAATCATCATCATCAATGTTGCTTGCATCACTATAAATGCCTATAGACCCCTTGCAGTTCATGGGAATGCAGCTCCAACTGGAGGACAAAACAATAGATTCTAGTTCCCAAGAGGATAAAAATCTTTTGTTTTGTCCTCCAGATGAAGCTGCTTTGACGTCACATGCAAGGGGTCTATATATTTTGGGGGGCTAACGACCACTAAAGGCGTTGGGGTCCTCTCCCAGGAAATTTTGAACTAATAAGAACCTTGGAAATGCGATTTCCAGCGTTTTGAGGGGCATCGAGAGCATATAAAAGGCATCAAATTTATGTGAATTTTTAATTCTTGGTGCGAGAAAGCAAGCAAAGACAATTATATAAAAAAATCCCGAAAATGTTAAGTATTTCCTTGCCACTGGTAGGCACTTGCGTATATATCTTTAGGAAACTACGTTCTTGTGGTTGGTTTATTCGTTTATTCAAAAAATATAAAGAATATTAAGTACGACATTACTAATACTACATTAATCGGCTCCTCGTCTCCTCGTGACGAATGGCGAAAGAAAGAAACTAATTGTACGTTTAGATCATGCCCAAAGTGTGGGATCCCTGTGCTGGAGAAATGCTGTAAACATGGCGTCTTGGGAAAAATGTGAAATACCATGTGGAATAACGTGTTTGCTTTTCTGTGCTGAATATTAGCACCAAATGAATGGTAAGATTTAACTCTTTATTTTTAATTCGTTGTAACAGTTTTCAAACTGTATTAAAATACACTGATTCAACTTTTCTTCGGCGCTAGTTTCGATGTAAGCTGATTCGTATCAACCGAGGTTGGAAAATTATTTCCTGTCCTTGCACGAGTAACATTTCATTTCGTGTTCGAAGAATGTCCGAATATTAACAACGATAAATAAAGAGCGTTGTATTTCTTCGCTCATTCGCTTTCTATACCTCAATAAAATTTTGAAGCTAGAAGCTTTAATAGATTCTAAGTAAGTTAAGTATAAAATTCGAACCTCAACCAGATAAATCATAACTCGACAAAATGGGAGCTTTCCTAAAATTATCATTAGATATCCTGATAGACTATGTTTTTAGTAGTAAAATGTGTGAAAAGTGAAAATCGGAAAATAACATATTTTGGGTTACCTGTGACCGTTGGTCACATGGTATCCGTTTGATTTTTGGCGGTTACACTTTGAACAAGAAAGATGGCGACCACGTCGAGTCCTCTTCAGGTATAGTCCGATTTCTCACTAATATTGCTGTCCATATTCATCGATACATTTAAATCATGTTTCTATACTTTGAGACAATAGCTATGTGATATATTTTGATTGTGAAGAGAAAGATCACGATTTTCGGCTACTATTTTGACAAACTCAAAATGGCGGGAAAGGACAACGTTTGGCTTTGTGTCTCAGCATAGTTAATAACTATGGTCTCAGAGAGCCGATCTTTAGTTATAATAATTCATATTGTGTCATTCAACTGAGCTAYTGAATTTGTCATATATTAGGAGATAAACATGAATTCTCCGAAGAAATCCAACAAGAATAAGAAGAGATTGTCTGTTGAGCGCATTTATCAGAAGAAGACTCAACTCGAGCATATTCTTCTTCGTCCTGACACTTACATCGGTTCAGTGGAGCCCAATAAACAGTCTATGTGGGTATATGATGACATCCTGGATGCTATTGTTAGCAAAGAAATAACCTATGTCCCTGGTCTTTACAAAATATTTGATGAAATTCTAGGTAAGAATTGTTTGTCTCGAATTACAGGCCTTGGAGTTCTCGTAAATAGAAAGTATAATAAAATTACATGTACAGTATTGTATAGATCACTTACTAGAAATAATGAATGTGAAATGCTTTTCCAAGGGAAAGGTTTTCTTCTCAGAGTGAGTGCATTTGACTCTCTCATTGAATTTATTTCAGTCAATGCAGCGGACAACAAACAAAGGGACGCCAACATGAGCACTATCAAGATAGACATTAATCCGTAAGTACTTTATCAAATCACATTAAAAGCAGAATATAAATCAAGCAGCCAATGGCAGCATAACTCGAAGATTGATACAGAACGATACATGTACGATGAATCAAATC